CAGGAGGGCCGCGGCATCGGCCTGGTCAACAAGCTGCGCGCCTACACCCTGCAGGATCGCGGCGCCGACACCCACGAGGCCAACCTGCAACTCGGCTTCGACGCCGACGAGCGGGTCTACCTGCCGGCCGCCGAGATGCTGCGTCAGCTCGGCATCCAGCGGGTGTGCCTGCTGACCAACAATCCGGAAAAGGTGGAGCAACTCGCCCGCTGCGGCATCGCGGTGAGCGAGCGGGTGGCCCACAGCTTCCCCTCGAACGGCCACAACGAGGCCTATCTCGCCACCAAGGCGGAGAAGTTCGGCCACTGGCTGTAGCGGCCCGGCCGGGCAGGGCGGCACGGAGCGACGGACGGCATGACCGCAGGACAGGCGAAGTCGGGACAGGCGGAGTCGGGGCAGGCGAGGTCGGGGCAGGCGGAGTCGGGGCAGCAGACCGCGGACGCCGGCCCGGCGCAGGGCCGGTCCTGGCCGGCGGGCGGCTGCCAGTGCGGTGCCCTGCGCTACGAGCTGCGCGGCGCGGCGCTGGATCTCTACTGCTGCCACTGCCTGGAATGCCGGCGGCAGTCGGCCTCGGCCTTCGGAATCTCCGTGATCCTGCGCAGCGACGACCTGGTGGTGACCGCCGGGCAGCCCGCCGTCTGGACGCGGCCGACGCGGGCCGGCGGCACCCTGGCCTGCTTCTTCTGCCCGACCTGCGGCAGCCGCCTGTGGCACGGCGACCCGGCGCGCGACCCGGTCCTCAGCGTCAAGGGCGGCGGTCTGGACCGGCCGCCCGACCTCACCGGGGCCAAGCACATCTGGGTCTCGCGCAAGCTGCCCGGCGTGGCGATTCCCCCCGACGCCGAGACCTGGCCGGAGGAGCCGCCGGCCGGGGCGTAAGGCCGGGGCGTAAGGTCGGGGCGTAAGGTCGGGGCCCCGCCCCGCCTCCGGGCCCGATCCGCCCCTCCGACTCTGCCGGGCGGCAGGATCTGCCGGGTGCTTGGCGCCGCTCCGTTACGGGAAATCAAGTGCTTGCGCGGGCTGCGCGGCTGGCACGCCGCTTGCGTCTGGGGCAGCGTCATGAGCGCGACCGATTTCGATCCCTTCACCCGGCCAAGGGTGGGCCACCTTCAGGCGGACCTGAAGGCCGCCGGCGTCCAGCCGCGCGGCGGCAGCGGTGGTGGCGGCGCGGCGGCGGACGCCGACTTTTCCTTCGGCGACCTGCTGGACGTGATCAACCCGCTGCAGCATCTGCCGGTGATCGGCAACGTCTACCGCGCGCTGACCGGGGACGAGATCGGCGGCACCGCGCGCATCATCGGGGGCGGCCTTTACGGCGGTCCCTTCGGGCTGGTCGGCGCCGCCTTCAACCAGATCTTCGAGGACGCCACCGGCCGCGACATGGCCGAGACCGCCCTGGCGGCAGTCGCCGGCGAGGACCTCGCCCCGACCCAGGCCCCCGCTGTTGCCGCCAGCGACGCGCCCGATGGCGCCTCCGATGTGGCCCAGGCGCCGCCGGCCGCCACGGCGCCACCGGCCCCTCCTGCCTCGGCCCCTCCTGCTTCGGCCTCGCCTGCGTCGACCCAGTCGGCGGCGGCGCAAGCCGGGGCGCCGCC